CGCACATCTATATATATATGGGGGGGACATAATGAAGAAAACAACAACACAACACTAAATCCATAGCAATCACGAATCAAATAATATAATCATGAAGTAAATGAGATAATGATAATACTGTAATGGTATCCTTGTTGCAGACATCTTGCTTTATAAAATAGTAAGTACACTCTAAAAATAATTACAGAAAATATAGCATATTCAGGTATTAATCTAGAAATCCGATCATGTACTATCATTAGGCACTGTACTAAATATACTTGCATGCATCATCCTTCTGTATGACTGTCAGGGAAGTAAATTTGTTTATAGCAGCATCATTAGAAACAATTTTTTGTAGTGCAATGCACTTCTTATGGTGCTATGATGCCCACAATGTAACTAGATGGTAAAAGTTTTTCTGCTCTGTTTTAAGCATATAGGATCACCCTAATATAGGTGGTTTTTCCTTCACCAAAATGTTACTATGTCATTCATGACTATATTTTGGTTAGGATTTGAGAGCTATTTCTAGAAGCTAAAAGTAGTTGACATCCAACAAAAAGAGGACTTTAGGGCTGGGGATTTAGCCCAGTGGTGCCACCACCTGTTTTACAAACACAAGGTCCTGAGTTCAATCCCAGGTTAAAAAAAAAAACAAAACAAAAAACTTTAGTCTTAATACTGCAAAGAACTATCTGTCAAGTTGAATTGGAGAAATCCCCTAGCCTATGAACTCTGGGAATAAAAAGGCATGCTTTTTCATGCTTTTTTATTTTATTTTTTTTACAGGGGATCGAACTCGAGTCCTTGTGCTTGCAAGGCAGGCTGCCGAACCACTGAGCTAAATCCCCAGCCCCTGACGTGCTATTTTAATCCAGGAAGTTTGTGACCATTTGTTCCATAACAATTGGTAACTACCATATCCGTTTTCAAAGTGACATAAAAAAACAATGATCCTTGCTCGGCAGAGGAATGGTGAGAGCTGCAGCTGTGTGGGTCTCGTCTGCTGCCCCAGCCCCCTAACTACTCCTCTATTTAGACATAATTATAAATGTGGTGCTTTATTACACCTAAAAAATTTCCATCTAGTGATATTTCTTTGAAAATTACCAATTACCAATAGAAAATTACAAATTACTGGTAGACATTTTTATTTTTTA